CTGTATTTGTAACTTTCTATAATGTACACTGGATGATGCCACAATTTGCCATTATTGATCAGATTCCTTCTTTAATTTCGCTATAGTTGGTGTAATGGAATTTTCAATAACTTTTTTGCATGTTGCATCACTAGCTGTAGAAAGAAAATAGAGATCTTGATTATAAATCAGTGTGTAGAGAAGCCAGTTGTACCTCAGAAAGAACTTGTTCTGGTACATTATAAGAGATAAAAATGTCCCAAAACACCCTGTTCAAATGCTACCACATCAAACTGTACTTGCTAATTTATTTTTTCTGAACCAGCACTAGTAATTGCAATTTTAAGATAAAATGTAATTGGTTTTGTCTGCCTCACCTCGGGAAGCAGATAAAAATAAATACACCACCAGTGAGTGTAAGCTTCTGAGAAAATCATTAAACCTTACTGACTTGAGAAATTAAGCTATGCATCAAATTCCTTAATCTGACAAAAATATTCCTTTAAGTTTATTAACAACCAAGAAAATGCAGGATTATTTTTGAAGAGACCGAAAAAAGCAGCTGTATGCATGTGCAGATCTTAAAATCTTGACAGTTCTTGTGGAGCATCTTGAGCAAAATTTGCTGTGCTCCAGCTGCTCCAGGCCAACTGCCCATGTACACATTCCTGCAGAGCAGAAAATAAAAGGTTTGCTTCAACCCCCAACTTGGAGACAGAAATAAACCCATTTATCCAATGATATAATACAAGCAATTGTTTCTGATCAGACTAAAAACCTTTTTTAGCACCAAGCAGAGAAGAACATGAAATCCACAGGGTTTTCTTGCCCATGGTGTAATGGTGGATTATATACAGACATTTAATTAAAGATTTTTCTCTGGGTAGAATTTAATAATTAGTTACTTTTACCATAAGAGAATCTTCACAAGGAATCAAAACTACAGCTTGTTTCCTTACCTTGGATTTAAAGGATATGATAAAAGAAGGCACCAGGAGAATAAAGCACTTCAAGCCCATGAAGAGGAATTTCAGAATAAAGTCTGTGACTCCCACAATCCAAAGCACCTCCCAAAAGTTCATAAAATCCACAGTGGGGCTTAAGAAGATTAAGCTACAAAAAGAAGTATCAAAAGTTACTGGAGCACCCTATTTAGAGGAAACTGTAACCTGAGATTATCACAGCAGGTTTAATTAAAAAGGAAACCTGGTTAACACCAAGGGAGAACATTTGCTAAGAAAATCAACTGCTCATTGTGAATGGATCACTGAAGATCTCTTGACAACTTTTCCATCCTGGAACCTTCTTTGCTGTATCTTCATCACAGCCCCCATCCTCCAGAGCTCAGTTTGCTGTCTCAGTTTGGCATTTAGCCTTTGATTTCCAGCCAAGGCTGCAGCTACTGAATGGTCAAGGGAGGAAAACCAGTTGGAGTCATGAACTCCACAGAGCCCCAGGATGCCACGTTTGGTATTCCCAAGGGTCAGAGCTGGGAATCAAAGCCAGGAATGTTCTCTGTGGTACAGCAGTGCCATTAAATCGAGTATGGAGCCTAGCAAATTCCAACATACTGTTTTTAAGGACAGCACCTGTTAAATTTGGCAGAAGGGGAGGAATGGAGATTAAAGTGAAAGACAAACCAATGCCACAATTAAAGGAAAACAGCAGATAAAGTGTCCCCAGTTAATGTCTGAGTAATTTATGGTGGAGCAGAGCTGTTTCTGCACTTACCTGTGATACAGGGACTGAGAGTGGAAGGTGTAATACAAGAGGAGAGATGATCCACTTAGGTAGAGTAGTAACCAAGTGCATTGCAACTTGGAGCATCGTTCCTGCAGGGGGATTGTAAAGACACATTGCAGTCCTTGCCTCAGAACATGCTGAAATACATCCCAAACACTACGTCTGTTACACCTGAGCAGTTACTGCCAGAGGACTTTATCTTAGGGGGTTTAGACCCCATAAAATAGGAGACCTAAATGGAAAGGTAAAGCAGTAATTTTAGTATTTTCAACCTACCAATTTCTAGGTGTACCAAGGCCAAAACCCACCCCACTTTGCAGCAACAACAGGTTTCCATTTGGGAGTGAAGACAGAGCTGAAAATTTGAACTGTCAACTGCTATTTCATCCCACAAATATAGTTGAGAAGTTAATCTATAACTTACAAGAAAAGTTATTTCAACAGTCAAAATCAGGGGGAAAAAAAAAACCCTTGAATTTTGCAAACTTTGGTATCTATCTGAGAAGTTCCCCTGTACAGAAGCATTAAGACTTTACTTCCATCTCGATACCTAATATTATTAAATAAATAAAACACCATTTCCATTCACATTTCTTTCAAAAATGGATTAACTTGCTTAAGTCTTGCTTAACTTAATGAATTTTGTTGCAGAGGGTTGATACTTACTCTGAGAAAAACCTGATTTACTATGCTTTTGTTTGCATATGCATAAGTTGTTAGCAGCCCAATTCCAAGAGAAATGCCTATTAGGAAAATAGGATCAATTATAAACATGAAAAGAAAAAAAAATTCCTTGACTTGGTTTAAAAAGCAGCCACTTCTAATATGTCTTTGTAATTAGAATTAATAGCTCAGACTCTCAAGCCAGGATAATTAAGCACATTGTACATATGCCAGCAAAGGAAACAGAAGCCACTGAAATGCAGTTTAGCAAATCTCTCTTTCTGATGAATAAAGCAAATAAAAATAAAGCTAAAAATAAATTGAATTACATTTCAGGCATGGTTATTAGTATATTTCTTGGTGGGAGGTGGGGAGAGGAGGAGGGGTGTATTCCCTTCAAGCTGGTTTTGTTCTACTCTACCGGTTATGTGCTGCATGAGGAGTTTGACGCCGAGGATCAGGAGGTAGGGCAGGCTCCTGTGCAGCCACTGCAGGAGGTACCGCAGCTCCGACAGGGAGCTCCCGCCCTGCTCCTCCGGCTCCGCAGCCGCGTCCTCGGGCCCTCCTGCCTCCCCATGGCCGTGCCCGTGGGAGCGGCTCTGGGAGCCCGGCCGGCAGCCCCGGGAGCTCGGGTTTTCCCTGGATTCCGCCGCGCTGGAGCTCAGCTGGATGCGCACATCGCCGGTGCCGGCGTGGCAGGAGCCTTCACCCGCCAGCCTGGGCGAGGAGGAGGAGGAAGAGTCATCGCCGCTGCCCTGGATGCTGTGGAGATGGGCGCAGTCGGGGTGCATGGTGGGGTTTGCTGCTGGGGTTTTTTCTGATTTGTGTCTCCTAGAGAGGGAGGTAAAAAGGGACAGTTAAACAAAGAGATAAATAGTTCAGGAAAAAAAAAATCCAATAGGTTGTACTGAGCGACTGCAAAATTCTCTGAGATCCTGCCTGAGTTTGTTGTGTGGGTCACACCCCTTCTCCACAGGACAGCCTCCTGTGTCCCAAATTAAAATTATTTCCTTCCCTCTGTGTGCAGGTTTTCCTGGCTGCCTTAGGAACAGCTAAAAGTGCGAATCAGAACAGCAAAAGCTGCCGGACAGGAGACCAGCACTGGCTTGTACAGGAGAGATCGTGGAAGTGCTGCATAATTTCACAAAAATAGCAACAGCAGTGGGCCAGAAAAGGAGCAAACACTGATGGGAAGGAAGCAGGGACTACATTTCCATGCATCCATTAACTGGTGAGCACTGGTTCAGACACGTCCAGTCAAAAGCCAGTGCATGCTCAAAACTGAGGGCCATTATGAGATTAATGAGATTATCCTGTCTGGGGAAGGGAGCAGAACCAGGTTAGGCCATTTTCTAAGAAGCATTTAAAAGAGTCAAAAATGAAATGCAGCCAAATGAGATCTGATTTATCTTTCCTTTGGCATTTTTTGGTTGTCTTCTGGACAGTTTTTCACTTCTCTTTACTTGGATCAAACAGGGTTAAATCAACTTCTGCGGACTGGTGCGACATTAATGATTTTGGAAAATGCCTTGAAGCTGAATTTGACACAATACTTGTCACTATGGAGTAATATTGAAACACTGAGAATTTTGATATACTCCTCTTTCTACTGTTCAAACTCTTCCAGATTCCTCTTTGAAAATGTTTTTTTTTTCACAGCTAGGTTCAATGGGGATACAGAAACAAAGCAAAATTGGTTTTGCACAGCAAGTTCTGGATGCATTTGCACATACCTCAAATTCTTTAGCCTTTAAAATGAAGGTAACATTAACGAGTAGAACCACTTTAACACATGAATATGAGAACTTACTAATATTTACAAGTGCTGCTCCTACTACTACTATTTTTTTTTTGTTGGCCAAAGATGACATCATACTTTAAAACAACCTAAATTCTCATTCTGTATTTTTTTTTGCACACGAATAAAACCGATGGAGATGGTATTGACTAGTGTGAACAATGTTACAGTGTTAGTGAGCAATGCTTTTACAGGAAGGAATAAAAAAATACACCTCATTTGCCCCGCAGTCGGTGTTTTGGGGCAAGAACTGACAGCTCGGTGTTCAAAAAGCCGGAACTGAGGGACTGCACCGAGCAAACTTCCATTAAATGGGATTTCAGTGATGACTCCAGATTTTGTCCTCCCCTCAAAAATTAACTAAAATACGGCTCTTGAGAAAGGCCCATTCGCGCATTCCGCGAGTCTCCCGAGGCCGCTGCGGATAAGGGAAGGGAAGGGAAGGGAAGGGAAGGGAAGGGAAGGGAAGGGAAGGGAAGGGAAGGGAAGGGAAGGGAAGGGAAGGGTGACCCCCCGCGCTGTGAGGGGACGCGGGCGCGGCCCCTTTCCCGCCCCTCCCCGGTACCTCACGGGGCGCCCGGCGCCTCCCGCCCGCCGCCCGCCGCCATCGCCGGGGCCGAGGGGGAGGAAGAGGAGGAGCCGTGAGGGGAGGAGGAAGGAGAGGCGTGAGGGAGGGAGGAAGGCTCGGGGCTGGGCGTTGCTCTGGCGACGCCGCGGCCTTCGCCCCGTGAGGAGGGGGAGCCTCCCCTCAGCCTCCGCCGCGCCGAAACCAGGGGGAGGGTCCTGTTGCTTTTTATTTAAAGCCGCAATTAAAATGAATCTGGGAGGGCAATAATTAGCAAGGAAATGGAGGGATGGGTGTAAAAGTATACGCGTACTGCGGTGTCATTACTTGTCGATGGCGATTAAGGGAGTCCTGCTGTCTGGAAATTGGCTTTGCCTCCCGGGAAACCTGAGGGAAGCGCTGCCCTAGTTAATGCTGCGGTAGCTCTTGGGAGAGGTTTGGAGTGAAATAGATACAGGTTTTCTTTTGAAATATGCTCTTGAATAAATTAGTTTGTGTCCAGAAATGGCATCTGTTTTCCCTGGCTCAGATATTTTTCTAGAAAAAGTGTTTAGGTATGCGGCTCACATGGAAAGTGGGACCAATATCTAAGCAGCTTTGAAAATCGGTGCTGTATTGTTTTGAGTTAGAAATGCTGGTTTAATTCCAAAGTTTGAATACAGCAATGCTGTGGGGTCAGTGGAGAAGGAAAGGATGGGCCCTTAGATGTAGATGTTATGAAGTGGAAAACTTAAAGTGTTTGGAAGGGTTACGTGGCCGGGTGTTCAGTGGCACCATCTAACAACAAAACTTCTCTTTTATTTTCAAGGAAGTAGCTGAAAACACTGGCTGCATCTCTGTGTCTCTTAGAGGTAGGTTTTGAGGAGGCAATTTGATCTACTTTTATGATGTTTTTGGAAACTGTGCCTAGAATTTCCTGACTGGAAAGTTCAGGTCACAAATCCTCTGCGTTTCACTCGGGCTGTGGCTGATGGATTGGAAGAAACCTGGGCTGGTTATTACAGATATACTTAAGTATTAAACATAGCCACAGGCCTCCTGTTTCTGCAGGCTGTCTGAACTCAGAAGACCTTTCTCGTTTGTATAATTTTTCTGTCTAATTATCCCAGTACTGCTCAGTAGCAGCACCGATGCAGATTTCAGATGCCTGGCAGGAAGCACTCAAAGAATTTCATGGCCATGTCCCCATCCTTCCAAGGATAACACAAACCTGTTGTGTTTGGCTTCTGCTGTGCCATATTGTTCATTCTCCCACTCTTTGCTCAGTCAGTCACTTGCATCGTGTTTGGATTATGAAGGACAATGTGAAAAAAAATCTTAATTTGCTTCTCAAATCAGGGAAAGCAATTATAAATCTTTTATTTTTAAATAGTGTTTTATGATTGGAAATTATGCATGCCTTCTGTACATCGCTTGGAAGGGTATAAATTTAAAAGATTTGTTCAGCTGTTTCTTTTTTGTAATTATAAAATGCATTAAAGTACAAATGTAGCTTTAAATCCACATTGTTCTCAAATTGTTTCTCATTGCCACATGTACTGAAAATACTAAATTAATTCGTGGCAGCTTATTAATCGGTGGTGTTTGCTCATGCAGGTCACTTGCTGATTTATCTCCAATTCACAGCTCATTAGAAGGTGTGTAACTCTTCAGAGATGTTGTTATTTAACAGGTATGTTTTCCTAGTGCCATTAATGACCTCTGGATTTAGTAACTCCTGACACAAGAGAGATTTGGGAGATTATTCACAGAAAATTGGAAGTCTTTTCCCATGGGCATTGGACACATTAGGTCATGGAATACCTGGTGATAAATTTACCAATCTGGATTTGGATTCTTCTCCCAGAGGGCCAATAAATTTCATAGAGTGCCCAGGCACATTTTCAGGTGTTTATACACTCAGAAGTATCCCAGACTTTCTCTGCCTCCCAGGAACAGCTGGTATCTCTTTAATTGGTGCAATCAGCACTTTCCATCAGTGTGTACCTGCTTTTCCTGGGCTTGTTCAGTGCATGAAAACATTGGAACAAACTCTGATCCTTGTGGAACTCTGCCTGGGATGCCCTGGCAGCTCAGTATTTACCTCTGCAGCAGCAATTACTCCCTCCTAGAAGTTGCTGAGAGCTTGTTTTACAGGCAGAAGAATATTAGCAGGATGTATTTTGTGTCCTGAAGGAGCTCTGCAGAAACCTGAGCAGGTTAAGGGGTTACAATCCTCACCTTTTGTATCACCTTTTCTCATCAGAAGGAACTGGTGCTTTAAAATGAGGTGTACAGTATCATCTGTGGTGGAATTTAAAGGAGCTGATCTCAAATACAGGGAAAGCATTTTTAGTTAATGATATGATAAAAAAAATGGGCTTTTTGGTAAGAGTCTGTAGAATAGCAGAATGTCCTGAATATTCAAAGGCTTTATTGGTTTGTCTTCATTTTACCCAAAATGCTGCTTGAGTATGGAAGACTTCTGCAAAATTAAGAGGGTTTAGTTTAAACTTTTTGAAGGGTTTGAAAGTGCTTCCAAGAGGCTCAAATAACCTTTAAAATTTGAATGTTTCCTGAGCTTTGAGTGCTCCATCTTTTAAAAACTGTCTCCTGCAAGTCTACAAACCCCGACTTCAGTTTGTATTTCAAGCACAAGAAAACAGCTCCTGAGTATCTGAGACAGTGAAGAACAGAGCCCAGTTCTGAAAACACCCCTGAGGTGATGGCTGAGTTTCACTGCTGAACTCTGATCCTCTAAGCTTTGTCAAGGAGGCTCGCCAGGAATTCGAAGCAGATATTTTTGTGTTGCAATGACATCACCCCGTTCCTTGAGGTTTCCAGAAATCTTGAGCCCTCTGTGTACAGCAGCGTGTTCATTCTCGTGAAGTCATTCTAAACTGAGAGTAATTCCACTGCAGTGGTGTCATGTAATTGTTCCAAAGCTGCTGAATTAGATCCCGGAGTCTTGTTTGGTTTTTGTTGGGTTTTTTTGTTGTTTTTTTTTTAGGCAAAGATAAAGCCTTGAATGAGAATCAGCCAGCAGAGCCACAAAGGGCAGCTGTAGTTTTTGCTCCCTGCACAGGAGGGTGCTCAACCTCTGTTTTTATCTGCAGGAAGGAGTGACTCCGTGGTCATCAGGACCAAGTGGAGAGCCTGTTTCCTGAACCAGGCTTTTCTTGTAGAGGCACTGGAGGATCTGTTAAATCCAGTGACTCAAAAATTATTCAGCTGCTCAAGAATTTCGGGAGGTGTGTGTTAATTGCTGCTGTTAGACCATTACGGAGGTATTTAGGTCAGAAGATGTAATGATCATGACGTTGGTATTCTCTAATGGGTGTCCTTAGAGGTGCCAGAATTTTCAGTAGGATCTTTGAAGTTTCTCAAAATAAGGGTTTTTTCCATCTAATTTGCTCATCTGAACGTGTGAATCCCCGTGTGAATCATTCAATTGAACAGTGAATTCTCATGTGTGTAAACATGAGTGGGTTTACCAGGAAGGAGTAGATGAGTTTGTTAATTTATATTCCACTTGTAGTACCTGCTGGTAGTTATATCCTTAATTATTCTGTATTTTCCTTGTTGAATCATAGAATACCCTGAGATGGAAGGGACCCACTGGGATCATCCAGGTCCCACTCCTGGCCCTGCACAGGACAGCCCTAGCAGTCCCACCGTGTGTGTGATATTCAGCAATACATTTCATGTTCCAAACCCAAATTTAATCTTCTAACATAACTCATAAAATGGAATTTGACTTTCTGTTTACCTTTTTAGGGATCAAAGAGAGGTCCTGGATGTTGTTGTCTGGTCAGGTTTTAGTTAAGTGAGTTTTCTGTCTGAAAGCAATTTGTCAAAGCTGTGTGTTGTACAATATTCCAGCCCTCTGGGTGCACATCCAATTTAGTCACTCTGGAAAGACAGTTTTGTTTTTAAAAAGCAGATGTCTGGAAAAGGAAATATCTCCTTTCAGACCTTTTGGAAGAAATACAAACCCAGAAATGTAGTGGGCAAAATCTTGTTAGCTGTGGTGAAGGGGATTCGTCCCCTTAACATCAGCACATAAATATTTGCTTAATTTCAGTCAATATTTACCTCACAGGTCAATAAAACTTGTTTTGCACTTCACAGAGTTAATATTTACTTGCTGTTTTTAGCTTGGTGACAATATTTAAAATTCTCTTAAGTATATGGTGGGCTTTTCTTCTTCTTTTCTAACAAAAGATTTTGTTTTAACAGAGGTGTGTTAATTTATTAGGAAGTGTTACCCATGAATCAGACCATGTTTGTCACATAATAAGATTATCCAGATTATGCCTATAACACTTTACAAGTAGGAAAATAATTTTTTTTTGCTTGACAAAAAATGTCTTACCAAATTTAAAAGTAGTTGCTTGTGTCTGTAAAATTAGGCTGTAAAACTTAGACACTAATTTAGAAGGCAAAGTGAAATTAAAGTACTCCTTGCTCTGAAAGGAATTTTTGTTTTGGAAAGCAATCACTAACTTCACCATTTTTTCAGTTAAGTCAAAGCACAGTGGCCAGGCTTGTATGGTTTAGGAGGAAATGCAGAACTGAATTTTAGATCCTTAGAGCTGACAAGACCACGTTTGCAAAAGTACAGGTTCATTTCCACGGCAGAACTTTCCCCTGTGCATTTGATATTTCTGTCACAGCTGGCTGGGTGCTATTTCCAGCGGGTGAGGTGTATTGGGAGTCGATCCATGGCTTTCAACCTGCCCCAGCCTTTGTCTGCAGCTGTGGGTGAGGCCAGCCCCAGCTCCCGTGGCTGCTCCAAGGAGATAACAGGGTGCTTGTTAAGCCACGTGTGTTATCTCACTGCCTTGTGCCCTGCTCCTGCCTGCTGTGCTTAACCCCAGTCCTCAGCAGCTTGTTTATGTTTCTGGCACAAAAAGGACCCCAAACATCTCCAGTTCTGTCCCTCTGAATGGTGATTTTGTGATTGATACAATTAGACATGAGGGTGAGGTCATTTAATTGAAGTCTTCAGTTGAACTAAAATCTCTGAACTAAATCACAGCGCACCCATATCCTTCAAACTGTCAAACAAAACATCTGTTTATGATAATCATTATCTTAATTGAAGAGTTCTAGCTCATGCTTTTCTTCATTAATGGAAAGACTTAATGAAAGAATACTTAGAAAAGTACTTAACTATTTCACTAAGAACTACTTCTGAAGTGAAACACTGCTGAAGGAATACTGGAATTCATCTTAGACTCCTATATAAACTTCCTCCTGGTGAACTTAACCAAGTTAACCATTTTTCAGCCTCCAATGCTGCAGTAAAAATGCGCTTCCTTAAATCTGGCTTGCTTGCAGACAGAGTCTGACACACTGGATTTAGTACAGCTGCAGAATTAACATTCAAAACTCCCATGCTGCACAGTTTCCCCATGTGTTACATAAAAATGCTGTGCAGCTCCTCTCTCCAAGCTCCTCTCTCAGGGCTTTAGCTGCCTGTTTGCCTCCCCTTTGGTTGCTGTTTTCATTTATACACAATCCAATTTTACACTCACCCAAATTACTGCTCATTGTGAGATAAATATGGTAACTTGATAATTCTGCCCAATGTTGACTTAACATTCAAGGTGTAACAGCTTCAGAACATATTTTGAAGTGTGTTTCAGGTGATGGGAGGAAATGTGGGTTTCTTTGAACACCTGAACTGTAGAGCTGTGATGGTTTGGATGTTGTTGATTTTCAATATCCACAGTTTGAGATCCATCTCTATATTGTTTAATCCTTCAAGGTAGAGAATGGCTTAGATTCCATTCCCAGATTTTCAGGATTTTTTTTATCCAGAGACTGAATTTAATTCAGGAAGATTTTTGGGAAAGTAACTGATTTGATTTAGGGAGTAGATGGATTTTAAAGTCATGGTAGGTAAATACCATCAGACATACCTCCTCCTCCTCCTCCATAGCTTTTCATGGCAAAAGTAGTTCTGTTATTTTTGTATTCGAAAGAAATATTTCCTAACCTTTATTTTGCAAAGATTCCTTTTTAGCAATCAACTAAATTTATTTTTTTACTTTTATCAGTTTTTCAGCCCAGACTTGGAAATCACTCCTTCCCTCTTTATCCTAATGGTCTTTCCCCTCCAGGAAAATCTCAGCTTGGATTCCTGTGGAGTCAGCCGTGAAGGATGGACTGGGAGCAGTGTAAAATTCTTGCTGGTGCTGCTGCATCTCCTGACAGGAGAGCAGAGCCACAGTGGAGGAAACAGCATCAACATTCTTCATAAAGCAGAGAAAATAGGTGCAGGCAAATCCTTTAAATTGAGCTATAATGAAATTATTGTTTATAGCCCAGCTTCTCCCTTCCATCCAGAATCTGTCATTTAGGTGATTGGGCCAGCAGGTGCAAACATAATTGAATTCAGGGAAATAAATATGGAGGGAGGCTGGGGATTGTTTGCTAAAAAGAAGACATCTAGTTTACTAATTAGGAGGATTTATAGGATGCTGCACTTAAAAATAGATGATTATTGATGGTTCATCTTAATCATGAGAGTTACTTTATAGTTTGAGGTTTCTTCCAGCTATAACCAGGAACAACAGCTCCTCTGCTCTGGAAACTTTCTGAAAGGCTGCACAGAAACAATGTTGTCAATTTAGAGAGAAGGTAGCAAAAAATGTGTATTACATCTGTCTTTGAATGAGTTACACAGAGAAAAGAACCTGGAATTGTTTTTAATTATAAGAGCATAAAAAGTTATAGGACTGTAGGAATGAAGATGGAATTTGGTTTTGATATTCTCATCTAAAGATATGTTAAAATCATAGGTATATATTAAGCTAAAATACTTGTCAGTGGACACTGCTGAAGTGCAAGTTAAATATTTTAAATTTCATTTATTTTAAATGCAGTAGTGCTGATAACACTGGCACTTAGTTCAATATCATTTCTCATTAAAGTTCTTTCAGCACTCACAGCTTTATCAGTTACCAGCGAGCTCATCACAGCAGCCAGGTATGAATTACACATTTCCCATGCCTTTATCTCAGTCATTTCTCCATCCTGCACTTCAATAATTTGAATCTGAAGTACATCAGGAAAACAGAGTTGTTTTTTTCTCTGTGGAGAGCTCAAGCAGAACTGTTCCTCACAAGGAGTAACAAACAGCCCGACTGAATTACCATGGAGGATGTTGCAGCTGAGCTTGTAAATATTATTTTGATAGACTTATATTTCCTTCTGAAAGGAAAGAGTATTAAGGAATATTTTGAAAATATAGAAAGGGAATAAAAGAAAAAAACCCAGTAAGATAAACCAGTAGGATAAATTTGGCTCACCACCCTTTTTGCTATTTCATGTCTAACATTCATTTTTGAGATATATCAGTTACATCAAGCTGAGGCCAGCTTAGTTTTATGTGCCTGATAAAATGGAGTGGATTCACAAAGATCTGGCCCATTCTCTTCTGTCACCTCATATTTCTGTTACTGTGTGTGTACATTCTATTTTAACAGTTTGGAGAAAAATAAATGAAAGTTTCTAAGCAAATATTTTTACATTCAGTTACTCCATAGAGATTCTGTATTGTCTATTCCTCCAAGTAATTCATCGTGATAAAATGAAATGCTGAAATAAAAGAGTTTATTAAAATTTAGATTGGAAATTGAAATACCAAATGAATCTAATCTAAGAGTTATGATTTCAGGTTTTCTTACACCCAGCAACAAATAAATTAATATCCAGGAAGTGGAACAGCCACACACTCAGGGCTGGGGCAAACACTCAGCAGGAGCTATGGAATAAGAGAATCCTTTAATAGAGAAATCTGTTCTTTGCTTTTGGCAGGGCTGTTCTGAGAAAGGGTTCATAATGCCCCAGAAGTCTGGATTTTTCTGGATTTGGGAGGAACCAGTAGGAACCAGAGATGTGTGGATGTATTTGCTGTTCCTCAGTTGCCTCAGGAAGTGCAGAACTTTGCTCCTACAACTTCCCTCTGGGTGCAGACTGATGTGTCCCATGGACAATCCAGCTTAGTGTAAAAATTAGTTCAGTTTGCTTCTGATTTAGTTGTAAAATCATTCAGACTTTGTGTGTTTTCTCTGTGATTAATCCAAATTTAGATTTCACTGTTGGTGCTACCTGTTTTTTTTTTGTGTGCTTGTGTTTAATGCAGCTGAAAGTTATTATGTAAAATGGGTAAATTGGAGTCTTTAAAGGAGCTGCCAACTTGCATTTGCCTGAGTTTCTTCAGCAGTGGAGAGGAGAGGAAGAATTCCAGACACGTCATCCTGATTTCACAAGTCTGCAGAGATCTCCAGAGTGGACTTACCCATCTGTGTGAGGTAGTAAATAGCTCTGTGCTTTTTTTGCTCACAAGTGGCTGCACATGTGTGCTCCAGCCATGTAATCCATGGCATCCACGGCTCCATCTCTGCCTAGGCACACTGGCCATCCCCTGGCTGGGCACAGCAGAGTCCTCAAGGCTGGCAGAAATGGGCACTTGCACTCAGAATCACCCTGCAGTGCAGTGCAGGTGCAGGACTTCCTCTCTGACCTTCCCCCAAAACACAAAAATTGGCATCTGAACATTCCTGCTCTGTTCAGGGACAATACTTAACTCATGATAAAGTGTTCCTCCCAAAACCTGACAGTTTTCTATGTTCACTCACCCTAAAGTGACAAAAGATAGGAAGGAGAGGAGAATGGAAAGGGAGGCTTCACTTGCTGTGACCTTGGCTTCCAAAACAATGCTGGAGAAAGCCACCCTTGTCTCTGGGCTTCCAAACCAAGGCACCAGCATGGCCAGCTGGGGACAACCCCTGAAATGGATGTTGTTCACAGCTCCCTGCTCTCACAATGTTTGAGCCTTGTTCAGTTTTGTCCATGGCACTGTGGGAGAGATATCCCCTGCTCCAGAGTCCCCGTGGCATCTCCTCAACACACACAAAATCACAAATTCACAAAGCCCACACAAATTCACCTTTCAGCTGGCTCCTACAAATCAAAGTCTCCTCGTGGAGCAAACCCACATTCCCTTCATTGTTGTTTCACACTGTGTACCCGTGAAGGGTCCTTCTGGATTCAGTTCTAAAGGGATAATTGTACTACTTAAATATTAAACATCCAAGTTCTTTTTTTATTGTTAAACCAATATTAAAGTAGGACAAAGCTGATTTACACTTTATGGCAGTGCATTCCGGAGTCGCTGGTGTTGCAGCTGATGTCCTGTTCCAGCAATATTGGTACTGCCAGGAGGCACAGAAATGGAGATTTTAATCAAAAAACTTTATTTGAGATCCACTTCAGTGAGATTATAAGGTAATCTTGCCTTGTGAACTTCCAGGCTGTTAAAAAGGGCAAATGGCTGCAGTGTCCTCTGAAACAATTCAAACCCTATTTTTCATCAGGAGATGATTCCACTGCCCTGGAATTGAAACTTGGGTGTCTTTTCCTCATAGATTGTTATTTAATCACTATATATTAGCTTTCATTGCCCTTTTGATATATTTAGGCTCATAAACTTCTCATTGACTAGATTGAATTTACCACGATGTTGTTACTTTTTATGAACAGAATGAATCAATAGCAGATCTGTTGGCTTACACTGAATTGTTTATTTTAAGGGATGTTTAAACTTTACTGAGAGAAAATGGAAGGGCTGATGCTCAGTCGTTCTCTTTAATACTCAATATTTGGTAACACTCTGAGTACAGCCTGCCTCAACCAGCAAGTGCTGCACACATTATCCAGAGATCCAGGGCCAGTAGTATTTCCTAACATTCTTTGAAATGTAAAATATTTTGCAGTATTCCCAATTCATGGCATTTAATACTTGCAAAATATTTTATTGTTGTAATAGAAAGCTTTTGTTCCATTACAAGGGAATATTCCAGAATAAGACTATTTTTTTCACTGAAAATAATAACTCCTTATATATATTTATATGTGAAGAAATAGTAATTTATTTTCCTGTACTCCTCAGATAATCTGTACAAACCAGTTGATTTCATCTATGAGTTTGAAGCACAGTATTAAGAAATATCACTGGGTTCATTTTATTATTAAATTTTAGGGATGTGGTTTCTTGTTTTGGTTTTTTTGTTTTGGTTTTTTTTCCCTGATTGTTTAATAATAATAATTAAAACCATCTATTAATTAAGTTCCACATAGACAAGTGCAAAGCTGTGCCTAGTGGATCTAAAAACTTGGGAATTCTTACATCAGTGTGATCAGGTGATAACAGCCCAGACTTTGTGCTTGCTGGAGGGATTTATTTGGATTCACTGTTGCCTCTATGAGCTCCCTCCCCCGTTATTTATGCACCTTTATTTTTGTATTAAGTGGTTAATTAAATCTGGTCAGGTTAACCTTTGTAGATGATTAGAAGTAGGCATCTCAGTCACTGGAAAGCAAATCATTTTGGGTGGAACATCTTGTTCTTGTTTGAATAATTATCTTTGTTTACATTCACACAGCATTAATCGCTTGAACCAGACATTTTTGAGGAAAGAGGGGGAGTGCCCCAGAGCAGGTTTCCAAATGTACAGAAATTATAAAGGAGAAACATTTCCCTTCCTTCTCCTCTATGAGCAGAATAGGGAAACAGTTTGAATTAATAATCCAGAATTCCAAGTGTTCACAAAGAGCTGTAATTTGTTGTCAAATAACTTTTAAAAGCCAAACCTCCAGGCTACTCAGCTGAGCTGAGTCCTGTTTCTTCAGTGAGAATTCTTCAGCAGTAACATTCCAATATTTTCCTTTTGGAGTATTTGTCATTCTTTTCCAATTGTTACTGTTATTATTCTATAACTCTATTTGTCTTTGTTCTGTGGTCTGTTCTTTTTCTGAGTGCTAGTGAAAGCCTCTTGTCATTTTCCCCTTGGTTTGATATTTTCTGCCAACTCCTCTGCCTTAAAGCCTTTTTTTCCTCCTTTTTTTCCATGCAATGGGATCTTACCTCCATAAAACCATTGCCGTAATTGCTCATGGAGGAGTGCTTTTATCCCAGAAAAATTCTTCAGCCATCAAGGTGGGAAAGACCAGAAGGAGAAATGCCAAAGTGACCTCCTGGCTGATTTTCTGATTCTTCTTTGGAAGAACTCAACAGCTCAGTCAAAAGATGTTCATTCTGAGGATTATTTTATTTTGATAATGAAAAATTTTTTATGAACTGTTGCTTCTCTGGAGCCAAATTATGGGATCATGGGAGATCTGTAAGCTCAGCATGGTCCAGGAAGAGGGATAGTAGGAAATTAGAGAAGAAATAGAGTAAAAACACAAAAGATTTCTTGGTGCCACTATAAACCCATCATATATCTGTGTGAATACTCTCTGCCTCAAAAAGGAGATGCTAAAACAGCAAAAGCTGTAGAGAAGGACAAAAAATGCAATCAAAGATATGGCAGATGTGGGGAATGTGAACTGGATTCCCGTGTTCCTTCTGCAAAAGGCCTCCAAGTCATTAAAAGATGTAACTTTCTTTTATGCAATTCCTTTTCTGATTAAAATGGTCTTCTGTAAGTGATTTTATGATACATATAAATATTATGGTTATCAGTCTTCACAGTTAAAATAAGGCTTTTTTTCTTTGGCAGGAGGAAGGCTATACATGCAAATTCAGATTCCTGATGCATTCCCACTAACTCTGCCCTTCTGTTCTGGCAGAGTGAGGAAAAACTGTAGGGTTTGTATTTTCTTTTATTTGTTTCTTTATGTATCATGTGCTCTCTGATTCTCACTTATTTCTTATTTCATTATCTTTCCTGTTCTTTTTCTTTTTTGAGGCTACATTTGTGGCTGCATTTTTTTCTTTTATTTGTTTACTTTGTCTTGAACTTTCTCCTAAATCCTTCTTTTCTTTTCGGCCAGACCTGCATTGAAGCATAATTTTTCTCTCCTTCCATTTCTACTTCCCTTCCTCTTCCATATCTTTTCCCCCCTAATATTCTCATTTTCTCCTCAGCATTTCTTGATGTTTTTATTTCCCACAAACTTTCCTATCCTTATTTTAGTATTTTGTACTTTACCTCGGGGGAGACTCAACAAGGACTTGGGCCTTTCTTCCTTAATAGTGCAAAACTGGATAGAAACCACCTTAAAAATGTCTGGGACAAACTCTGTCCTAACTGTCCTGTGGCATGAGGATGACTGGGAGCAAATAAATTCCTGTTTAGCAAATTTAACTTCTCCTAAAAATTCAGGCTCCATCCTTCCAGCTGGAAACTGGATCATATAATGGGTTATTACAAGCTGTTAAAATTTGAGACTGAGGAGGGGGAATAGGCTGAAGTTATTCCATGGATTGTTCTGTTCTTTGTGGGAGGCTGTTAAAATAAAGCAACAGTATAAAAGATGAATTATATACAATTTAATGTAAAGCTGTTGGAAGCCATTAGGATATTTCTTCCTTGATTGTCTAACATTTGTGTACTTTTACAAAGTTTTACATTTTTTGGTTCTTTCCGAACATTATGAAAATTGTACTGAGAGGAGTAAATTCATCTGCATAAAATTGACTGCAAAGAGCAATTAGTCCTTCATTAATATGCAAATTTGGTCCAGTGCAGATTCATCTATATATGAGGCTTAAATATGCAAGTCAGTCTTGCTGTGCGAGAAGCCCAGATGCTTTTATTTACTTTGAAATTGAGGGATTTGGTTAATGATGTTGTTGACAGGAAAACTTGAATAAATTTGATGATCACCATCTTTCATATTAGACGAGGCCCATGGAAAAAAATTACCAAGTAAAATACCAATTTTATTTGGTAATTTCCTATTACCAATCTTGTAATAAAATGTAAGATAGAAAGTAATAGAGTTAGATTTCCTAATGTAGTTATCCTGAGACTTAAACTGCTCCCCAAAGATGGAGCCATTTTTCTTAAACTTTGTTTTTCCAGAGGGTAAAGACATCTCCATAAGCTGTATGAATAACACACTGCCTGGAGATTTAATATTGGAAAGTTGGTTCTGTGACTTGCTTCAGTTGGTGAGAGGACGTAAGCCTGGGAATGAAGAAGCAGGAGCTTTGGAAATGGTTCTTTGTCATCTTCCATGATTTATCTGTAGGGTCTTCTCAACAATTAGTTTGAGGCCTTTGCCCTGTGGAACACCCTGGAATCTGTATGAACACACAGCCAATTCTATTTGAGCTCCTTAAGAAACATTTTCTTAAATATCTTGAAATCTTTACAGCCCTTTACTTTCTTCCTGTTGGCACCCACCATAGGCTGGCTCAGAGAAGCAGTAATACTAATTACTGCTCACTAATAAATCCAAGCTGTGGTGTGTCTTGTCTCTCTGCTTTTTTCTTGCCCCACAGTTCCTTTGGCACATCCAGGATCCCCCTGGCTCTGTCCAGCATCCATCACTCAGGCAGGTATGGGAACAGGTCCTTTGCACTCATCAGTCTTGATTCACCTGCAAGATCCCACAAGTTCCTCCTCCTGTTTCTTCCTTTTTCTTTCTCTGCAATTCCTTCAGGCCTAAATTTAGCTTTGGCTTAAGCAAAACTGGTCTTTGACTTCAATCATGCTTATTTTTTTCCTGGACCAAACCTGGTCTTCTGTCTTGCCTGATTGAGGCATTGGCACTTCCCAAATAACAGAGAAATGTGGTTTAAATGGACTGAATGTGTGATAATTTATAAAGCTCTAGTTGTAACTACCTGAGGACAAGTTAATAGATGAGACCATTTGATTCCTCTGACTTCTGGCACAGCTGGTTGAGATATAAATCCTCACAACAGTTGGTTTCCAAATCCTTAATGTGCTGCACTAGGCAAAAAGTTTCTACAGCCATGTTCAGGAGAGAAAAAAAAATCAACCAAAACTGTTCATGTGGTCTTGCAGGTGAATCCAAAAGCAAGAGAAGGAAGATGGAATTGAGTATCTGGGGAGAACAGAGGAGAGATCTGATAGTCTTGTAAAGGCTCTGGTTATCCTACAAGGGAATCTGTGGTTTTTACCATCAGAATGAGACAATGACAGCATCAGAAGGAAGTTTATTTGCTGTACTGAATAGTATAGGAGGTGATAAATTGATTATAAGGTGAAACCTTAAAACCACACCATCTGCTGAGACTTAAAAGAGCCTTTGCCTTTGAGAACACAGAATTGTTGGGCAATTTCTAGTATTTTTCAGCACCACCCACAGCAATCTTGGCATTCTGACCTAGCTCCCAAAAGGAGGAAAATATTAATTTTGAAGTGTATAAACAACAGGCATCTCAGCACAACCTGAGGTTGTCTCCTATCAACTATGTAATCTTTATATTCTAGATTAATAAACACTTCAGCCTTGGAGTTTATTAGTCCAAAATATATTTATTACCTCATAAATTCAAACCCCCTCCAGTTACCATCTAATTAAACTGCAGCACTGTGCATGCTATCTTTGGGGATGTATTAATAATGGAATTATCTTGTGAAACAGTAATTACATACTTTGTGCATTCTTTGCCACACTCTTTCTTCAGTGTCTGTGTGATGAGTGGGGCACACAGTGCTCCATTGTTTGGAGCTCCTCCAAACTCTCTGTGTATCCAAAGATAAGCAGATTTTTTTTTTCCTCTTTTAGTACAAGAGGGAGAAAAGTTTGTGCATTTTTTGTACTCAGGAAAGACCAACACTACCAGACTAGGAACAGTTATGAAACATGATTGTGCAAGTGATTTTAGCTCATGCTTTCTCCTCACTCTTTGAGGAGATTACTCTCAGGAGTAAAACCTCCTTGCAGGATATGTTCTGTTTTTACTGCAGCTGCCAAAAGGTGAAGACAACCACTTTATCTGCAAGAGAATATTCATTTATGGGGCTTCCCTGGTGACATAGGTTTGAAATGGGAAAATGGGCTTAAAGCCTTCTTTAAGAGAGATTTACTCACAGTTTTCTCCAGTGGTAAGTATACTTGCTGTATTCTGATTTATAAATGTATTGACTCTCCCTGTGCTTTTGCTTTATAAGGTTGGATAATTTGTATTATCTCTGGATAATTTGTACTGACAAGAGTTCTTGTGCTCATTTTTCCTCCCTTACTGCAGAATTAGGTGTCTGAATCCTGCCTGGTGTTCCCTTCCCTGCATGGAAAGAGGCACAGGAGGCAACACCTTTTGCACATAACTTCCCTGGAGTTTTGAAGTGCCTTATCTCTAGTTCAAGTACATCTGTTGAGCAACAGTGGGAGTGTGTGATTCTTGTTGACACAGGCTCTGCTCTACCTGACAAGAGTGGGGTTGATTCTCCCTTGTACTTCCAGCACTTTGTGGCTTTAGGATCCATATGCTGCATTCTCTTGCCTTTTATTTGTTCACTGCAATTGCTGGGGCTGTGCAGTGTCTGCAGGGAGAGGAAGGGCACTTCCCACCAGTTTCCTCCCTGAATTTTTTAGATCTTTCCAGCACAACTTTTGCCTTCTCCCTGGTTTTCTGCTCCACAAGTTCTAATATCTGACGCCAAATACAAAATTGAGTAGTGGTCACTCACTTCATACAAAAGGGTTTGATTGAACTTCCAGCTGCAGCTCCATCTCCACTCCTGTATTGTGATTGCAACTTCATGTTTTACTTGCATTTTGCAGTCATTCAGGGGCCAAGCTTTCAAGTCTTCCAGATTTGGACTTGTTTTGATTTCATTGCAAAATCCTGCAAGAATTCTGCCAACAGCAAGGCCAATGTGTCTGAAAACAGATGGCATTTCCAGTACCTAAAGCCTGGTCAGGTGTGAGTATCTCAGTAGTAAGAGTGACTCAAACTACTCAAACTTGTAGCTTTGATTTTCAATAAGAAATTATTTGCTTTATCCAGTAATTTTCATCTGCCAGCACTCACAGTTATTTAAATCAGACTGTTTTCATGGATGAATGTTATTCTTTGGGAATAAAGAATGCCTGACAAGCTTCTGTAGTTTTGTGAATAGTTTTTTGTAAACCACAAAATGAAATGTAATTAATATATGATATATGTTTTACAGAATCTCAAATGGTTTTATCAGCCCAATGTCTAGGAATTCACCTTCTGAGATTGAACATCTTGTGCTTGGTGTCTTAATAAAAATGGGGTCTGATACCACTGTGTTACCACAGTGTAGAATGGAAGAGTTTCCATTGTAATGAATAGCAAACATCTGCAAAGAATAATTATATTTATGCTATATTGCTCAAACACACATTGTTATTAATACAGCTCAGGATTAATTACTGGTTTGTCAAAACCTGCTGATCTCAAAACTTTTGTTTGTCTTATATTTCTTGTGGCTGTTGATGAAAAGATGGTCTGTGTGTCCCCAGAATGGTTCCGGGCTGTGTCTTGCCTGTTCTGTCACTCTGCTTTTTTGTGCCTGGTGTCTGATTTGGAAACTTTCAAACTAGACACCTTTCTGATGTGTTTTTCCTGATGTGAATAAATTCACTGCAGAATACTTGCAGAGCAAGAGATGTTTGTTGCCAAGCAATTACATCAGATGAAACATACAGAAGGGTAATATTTTAGTCTGATTTTTTTTTTTTTTTTTTCCTGCTACAGGCATGAATCTGAAGATGAATTCTGGGAATTTAAGAAAGGAAAAAGTCAGGGCTTTTATTTCTTAAATTTTGTCCTTGTCTTCTGTATTTGCAGTGATTGCTTTGAGTCTGTAAGGTCATCATGGTTGAAGGCATGAAGATGAGGACATCAAAGCCTTTGCCCACTTATGACAATTACTCTGGAGACAAACACAGCTCAGAAGACAAATGTTATGAGCTACCTGTAAGTTCTGGTTCACAAAACAGATGAGAATCCAGAGATACTTCTGAACTTCGAAATGAAATTTATTCTCAAGGTAATGGTTGAGCTCATTATCTGCTGCTCTTTCTAAATGTAAAGTAAGGAGAGCAATGCCCCTGTATTCTATCTATAACAGCTGACATGTTTTCTGCATTCCTGTGTTTGCCTAAGAAGTCATGGATAATCAATTTGATGTGCAAAATAAACTGCATGGATGAATTCTGATACATATCACTTGCCATGGCTGTGCTGCTATGAGAGGCAAAAACTTCCAGGAAGGAAACAGCAAGGAAAAATCTGCCTGATAATTTTCTCATCAGTTTTTCTCCAAGGACATATCTGTAGGTGGATTCTATAGACAGTGTTTGGGTATTTTTCCCCCTCTTGAGTGGCTGGTTCTCTGTGTGTCAATTATTTTCTCTTGCTGTATTAGAAATCAAAGCTACCTTATCACTTCAGGATAAATATATCTATATTTATATCTCTATATCCATCTCCTATAATGCAAACTAGGAAAAACTAACTTGAAATATTTCATTTTCAGCCTTTCTTATTATTTAAATATATATTCTAAATTATTTTTTAAATTCCCCACATGTATTACAAATAATTTCCCATCTGATTGGGAAGCAGAATAGGCAGGAACCAGCAGCAGACAGATGTGATTATAAAAGATGTTCTGTTTGTTATAATGAGACTTATGGTCTTAATAAACTCTTAGAATGTTTTAAACACAACCAAATTAAGTAAGTTTAAAATCTGATTTTATAGATCTAACCCTATCAGATCAATTTTTGTTGTATTTTTGAGGACAACCCCACCAAATTTTTCATAGTTTTAGAGAATTTATCACAAAATAGATTATCCCTAGTTCCAGCAAAGAAAAAAGGAAAATTTGTACAGATAAAAAGCATGAATGACAATCTTGATCATGTGGAAAAAATCAATCTGTGAGCTTAGACATAGTTGCACATTAGTCTCCTTCTTTCTTGGAAATCCATCTTTCCCCCAGAATATCCAGCAGCGTTAGGTAGCCTGTCAAAATTTGCTCATAATATTTCATGTCCTTCTGCTGGAAAGAAACAGCTGGATATTTTGTGTCATGATGTGACCAATCCACCTCTGTTGTTGTCATTTTAATTGCTGGGGCTGTATTTTTAAGTCCTCCACAGAAGGTCTTTGTAGTGACAAGCGAACGGTTCACGCTTCGTAAGCAAACATAAAGAATGCTGCTGCTAATTGGAGAGGGAGTAATGCAGTTATGATTCCATCAACATTTAAGTTACATTGGGAAAGGACACGTTTTTTGTTGTGGTTGTTGTTGCCACATGAAATTTTACTCCAAGTGGATTTGGTGGGGAAGGTTTTAGAACAGAAGAGATTAATCCTGGAATTACAGGGATGGGAGAGATGGAAGTTAAATTGTTCTAAGCTACATCTACAGGATAGAAATAAGCATTTTATTGCTGTTTCTTGGAAACTGTAGTTATTAATTGCTGTCTTGTGAAATAGCTTGTCTGTGATAATGGAAAGGATGGGCAGCCTGAGAAAATTCCCTTTCCCCTGTTCTGAAGAACTGCAGCCACAGTGTTTCATGTGGAGGAGGACTCCTCAAAAATCAACGGTTTCCCCCAAAAAGCGGTTCTTATTCAGTAATTTAAGTCTTTTTGGTGTCTTCCCCTTGATATTCTGCCTGTTGTAGCTATAGACTTCCCAATTTCTAAAAGTCTGCTGGACCTTGTGCTAAACCTTGGCTTTTTTCCTGAATTACGTTTCCATGGAATACCTGGCTACGGATTAACAGTTTTACAGTTAAGTGCCCAAAGTTCTTTCCTGTTCATGCTGATTTATTTTTTTTTTCTACTCGCATCTCTCTTCTCAGGTGGAGCCTCACCTTGAGTTAGATTTAGGAGGACCAAAGGTGCTTCCTTTTCCAGTTCCCTGCCTGGATTTTTAGAAGATACCATTTTTTAGCATCTAAACACGGAAATCACAGCAATTTCCATGGGAAGAATCTCAGAGATGAGATGACAGAGCTTCCCCCCAAAACACTGCCTGTGTAATTGCTGAAGACATTCCAAGCCACTCTAACGAAGTGCTGTCTGCCAGTCATTATGTTCTCCTTGGAGGACCATCTGTTGCACTTCAAATATGTAAAGGTCTCTATCATTTATTGCTCCAAACAAATCCAGGCCTTTGTCTGATGTGCTGGAGCCCTTGAATGGATTCTAAAGGTGGTTTCAGGCACAAAGGGCAGGGTGTTCCCTTTGGTTGTACTCCTTCAGATCAAATTTCAGAGCACGAATATATTGATTAAACCAATATATGAATATTTTCAATTTATTTAGAAATGAATTATGAACAACAGCAAATAAAAAATATCTGAAATATGTTTTCTTTTAATTCAGCCAGGAGGACATTGGATGATGTTTGCATCTGGTAAACAAGTCTTTCTCATGTAGTGGTATCCAGATTTGATATATGTTGAGATTGGAAGGAAAATTACCTTATTTTAACTAAATTAATTAGCTTATTTGTATCTGAAAATAGCGATTCAAAGGAATAGTAAAAAATAGAATCAGCAGCTTAAAATGCTCAAGCCTTCCTTAGCACATGTCCTTTACAAGGATGTAATACTTGGTTGTACAGTCATTATTTATAGGTTAATTAGGATCCTTTCCCTGAGTAAAATGAGCAAGATCAGGCATTAAAATATGCTGGTTTTTTGTTTTTCCTGCTGCAGATTTTAAAGAGGCTGTGCAATCAGATTGGAGAACGTGAGCATTGTATTTTCACAGCAGAAAAGTTCTGTTAAGAGATTTCCAGCCAGAGAAATCCATAACGATTTCTGTCTGATTAGGGAGTGGTCCTATCTTTTTCCCTTTCTCCTCTTTCCCTTCTCCTTCCTGCACAGCAGCTAATGTTCTGGTCAGAAGTAATAATATGTTAGATCTTGAATGTCAGTAGCCCCAGAGATTCTGACAAGACTATTCATGTGCATTCATACGTCTTAACCAAAGCTGACACTAAAGAGAGCAAGAATTCTCATATTCCTCTTTTTATTGCTGTGCATTAAACTCAAATCTTCTCTTGGAGACCTCTGCTAGAAATGACAAATCCACCATTTGGAAAAGGCATTTTAGCAAGGTCTCAACAAAGCAGCTGGACATCAATCTGGCACAGGGCAGAAGCTCCTGTGAGAGCTCACAGTGCAAAGCTGAACTCTGGTTTACACCTTACAAATGCTGTGAGCTAAATGCTAATGGGAAATAACCACTCCTCCTAATCTTTCTAAATTCCAATTAAATCGTGATTTTTTTTTTTTTTTTTTAACTATAGGACATGTCCTTATAGGGACATTTGGATTCTGGTAACTCGAGGTTGTTTTCTGAGAAAACACACAGTGAGTAAATATTCTGCTCTACCTTTTACTCTGGATATATTTTACACACACTTGTAGGATGGTGTACTGCACATGTTTGGGTAATTTTGCAGGGATCTGATGAAGTTGTTAAAGCCAGGTAGGCAATTTTGCCAGCAATTATATTTTTAGTCTTCTTTTTAAAAATGGTTTGGTAGTAGTGACTGAGGCAGACTAGGTGGCTCTGGGCAGCTCGCCATTTTTAGGTAGTTTAATTTGTTAAAAATTATCTTTCTTCCCACCCAAATCCCCTTGAAACCATTTGGAGAAGAGAACTGTTGAACAGTTGCCAGTAATAAGTCCTGCTGAGACCTCTGTATCCTCCTGACAGAAATGTTGGTGCCAACTGGAGACTGACTGGCACGAGTTTGAACTCTACACTACTTGATACATTTGCTTCACATGCACCAATTACAATAATTGCCACCTCTGTAGCTGAAGTTTAAGCACTCGGTCTGCTCTCCATACCTCAGGTTGTTGGCAGTATGTTCAATCCTAGAATCTCAATTTTCTTGGAATAATTAAGTAGAAAATAAACGCTTCAAAAAATTAAGAGACAGTCTGAATGGAAATCAGAGGCTGAATAATAGAGTGGTTTGTCATGTTGCTATTGTTAAGCTGCATTTATTTCTATTTAATCTTTATTTCTAAAAGGCAGCATCTTCTTTTGCCTGCAGAGATTCACCAGGAGATGCTGTAATCCATTGACTTTTATATTCAGCAGTAGAATATCTCTTGATGTCGAGGGAAAAACAACATGAACTCCTACTTTGTTCAGATGTTTTAAAAATATAAATATTCCTTTCAAAATAAATGCTTTTGACTAGAAGAGGAAATCATCCATCCCCTACTCCTTTTGGCTGGATGTTTCCATGTAAGATTGTTGGGATTTAATACCAGGACTGGCTTTAACTGCCCAGTTCCTGAGAAATTTAAATCAGTGATTTAAATCTGATGCAATGGGACCATCTCTCCCTCACCCCTGTTGTCTTTCCAAGAGACTGGTTAATTTTTAAATGGGATCAGCAACATTTAAAAAAAAAAAAAAACCAAAAAACAAAAAACTGGTAAAGTTTCTATTACACAAAGATAAACCTTAGTCTGAGCACAAACTGCCTTGCCTGTAGCTTTCCTAATATGATTGCACTGCGCAGAGTAGATACTAAAATTTATATTAAAATTTCTTTATGCAGGTTCCCTCTAGGGAGAGGAAGAGGGAAGGAAAAAGCTTCATGTGACAGATGCTAATTATGCAGCTTAATGCACTTCTGGAAGTTGCAGAGATGAGAACTCTATAAGAACCTATCTACAAAACAAAGCACATTTTCAACAGCATTTTTTTTTTCTCAATTCTTTTTTTAATCTGCCTCCTCTCTGTTTTCCAGGAGGCTTTATTTCCCAAAGAGTACCAAGGGCAAGCAGTGTTTCAGGTGCAGAATTCACCTGCCATGGATGGGATTATTCTCCATTGTGTCTTGGTGTTCTCAGGTCCTGTGCATGGGACTGGGAAAGCTTCAAGGTTCTGAGCCAGGAAGGGTTTGAGTTCAAAATTCCCCAGTTGATGTCTTAGGTTTCTTCCTTCTTTTGTAGATATTTTATCAGCTCCTTATCCTGTGTTTAGGTTTACTGGATAAATGATGTTCTGCACTTGTGCTGGGATCCTACAGAAGGGTTTATTATGATGAATGTGCCAGGACTGATGAACCAGATCCCAAAATGCATTATGTGGAGAAATGAGCTGAGGTGCTCAAAACTGGGAGGTGCAGCCACACCAAAGCCAGTGTTAGACACTAATCCTCTCTTCCAGACACTGAGCTGTGCTGTTTGAGGGACAAGAAATGGGAAAATGATCCTGGAATCAATTCAGACTTGCAAGAACCATTATCCTGGATATCTAAATCTACCAAACCCCTTTTACCAAATGATTTATTTTTCCTCTTAGTGCTACACCCATACCATCTCCCACGTGCTTAATGCCGCTTTCCCCGATGTCCTCCATCCCCCTGGATTTCTCCGTGGGGAAGAGTGACTTGAGAACCTCTCCCGCAGGGACATCACGGTGCCGCTGGGACTCCCGAGGGGCTCGGGCTGGCCCCGGGCACCCAGGAATGCTCCTCGCAGCCCTGGGCTGCAGCCAGCCCAGGGAAAACCATCTGTTCCCTTTGGAAAGGGGTTTGCTTCCCCCCGGAGCCCTCCCCCCGCATCCCGGCTCCGGCCCCAGCTGCCGTGTTTCGATGAGCACTGAGGGAATGAATCTCCTGCGTTTAAAAATACTCTGCTTCTATTTAGATGAAAAGAAGAATCTTGCTTGCCTACACTGGCATACAAAAATAGGCTCAGTGTGAGTAAATCTTCAAAGTTTCTCTTGGCGAATATATCTAGCCTCACTTTTTTTTTTTTTTTTTAACTTATATGATAAGTTTATTTATAGAGTGTCCTTCTTTCCTCCTACTCTATCAAGACATTTGCAGAAGGTTGTCGCTCGTCTTGTTCAGGAGTCCTGAAATAATTTGCAGGGCCTTTGAAACATCATCGTGTTGCATAGTTGTGATCAACGTGCTGCTGTTGCATGAACATATCATATTTTAATGTGAATGTCAGGTTAGCTGAGACATTCGGGGCTTTCTTTGACTTTAGCTGCTTTACACTGGTTTGTGTTTTCGCTTGAACACTGCAGTAAAAATTCTGCATATAGTAATTTAAAATTTTCCATTTTACATGCAAGGCATTGCCTAGAAAATTAATGTGTAATATGAGAGGATTAGTAAGATGTATACACTTTCCAAACATCTCTTAAAAATAGCTTTCACTGTCACTGTAGCATCTTAATTCTGAATAATCTCACAGTCCTTCTGCAAATCTGTGCATGTAGTAACAGAGAAGCCACCTACTTCATCCTCTTGAACTGCATAATATGGATCTGGGCATGGAAAAAAATGGGTTTTGGAGTAGGGCTCTGCTTTGGCAGAGAGGCTGTCTGTGGAACTAGTGAGAGCATTAACACTTGCATTAAATATTAAAATCAGCTTTCACAATTCTTGCCTATCTTTTCAAAAAGGCTCCAACGGCCTCAGTTTGGAATTTGCTCCGTGGTGCAGATCTGGGGAATCCTCTGCCAAGAGGTGGAAGCTGAGGAAGGGGAGCCAAGGCGAGTGTTCCTGTGCTGGGGGACACTCTGTGCCCGGACTTTGGCCCAGGCTGACCGGACGTGCCCTGGGCTGGGCTCCGAATCCCGGGATATCCACCGGGACTGCTGAGTCCAACCCTCACGGGCCAAACCGGGATCAGCCCCAGGAACGGACAGGAGCCCCGGCAGGGATAAGGGGCCTTAGGGGTGTGTAACTATCGAACTGGGGGTGCCAAAAGACGCGCCAGGCTCTGCCCCGTGCTGCCAGGACATGGCACAACGGGCAGGAACCGATGTCTGAACGAGAGGAAGAAGGTGAAGAAGCGTCCAAGGACTGGTGCCAGTGTCCCAGCCATGCTCCTGTGCTCTGGGCTGCCCCTTCCCGGCGGCCCGGGAGCCGCGGGCCCGGCGGGAGCGGGACTCGAACCCGCGCCGCCGCCGCCGCCCGCGGCCGCTAGATGGCGCCGCCCCAACGAGCAAGGCGGGGGCTCCGCAGCGCCCCGCACGCCCCTGGCGGCCGCGCGCCGCCGCCGCACCCGCCTTCCCCCAGCGGCGCCGGCGGCCATGGCGGTGCGCGCCCACGTGACGGCGCGGCGGCCAATGGGAGCGCGGCAGGGGGGCCCCGACCGCCGTCCCTGCGGCCGCCATTAAAGAAAAAGGGTCTCGGAATTAGCCGGGAGCCGGATCCGCGCCCGCTCCGGCCATGGGGGACCCGCGCTGAGGCTCCCGCCGCCACAGGATGCCGCGGCCGGGCAGCCGCCGACAGAGGCACCGCTGAGGGGAGCCGACGCGCCGGCGGGGGCTTGGCGGCACCGACTCCGCCAGCGGCAGCAGCGGCCGCCTGTGTGTCGGCGGCGCCGGGAATTGCGGGGCTCCGACCCCTCGGGGCTGAGCAGAGCCCGGGGCTCGGCCGCCGCCTGCCCGCCCTGCCCGGGAGCCTCGGGGAGCCTCGGCGAGGGCGCCCTCCGCCCTCCGCCCCCGCGGGGACCCGCACCTGAGGGCAGCGAGCGCTCTCGGGGCTCCCCCGCCCCCCAGGACACACCGGCCGAAGACGATCGTTTTTTATATTCCAACCCCCCACCCCGCCTTTTTTTTTTTTTTTTTTTTTTTTCCCCCCTTTTTTTTTTTTTTTTTTTTTTTTTTTTTTTTTTTTTTTTTTTTTTTTTTTTTTTTTTTTTTTTTTAAAGGACCGGCCTCGCAGCCGAGCCGGTCCCGCCTCGCCCCCCCCGCGGCCGGGGGTCTGGCGGGGGTCGCTGCCCCCTCCCCGCCGTGACTCGGCGCGGTCCGGGCTCCCCGAAGAGACTTTGCGGGGTCCCCCCGAAGCCCCCGAGGACAGCTGGGGAGGACCAGGCTCCCCGAAGACACTCTGCGATTTTCCGCCTCCTCCTCCCCCGAAAAGGCTGGGGATCGGCCTCCCGGAGACTCCTCCATCCTTCCCCGAAGAGACTTCGAGGGTCACCCGCAATTTCCTCCTTCCACCCTTCTCCCCTCCCTCCTTCTCCCCACGGAAGGAATTTTTACCCAGCGGAGGATATTTTGGTTTCGCCCTCGCTGCGAGGAGTATTTCGTTTTGGGGAGGGGGGGTTTCCACACGGGAATTTAATCCCCCGCTGGGCTGCTAAGGAGACTTTTGCGGCCTTTCTCTCTCAAGGAATACCTTCCCCCCTCCCCTGCCCCCGCAGATGTTTTTTTGGGGTACACCCCAGGAAATTTTTCTTGCTCTGCCTTTACGAATTCTTCAGACTGGCCTTGCTTCTGGCCCCTGAAGTTTGTTTTTATGATTTTAAATTTTAATTTATTTGGAATATTTTTGGAGCAGGGGAGAAGAATCTGACCCCCCCACACCCTGTTGCCCTCGGACTCCGAAGAGACGAGCCTGGATTTTTCTCTCTCCCACGGCCAATCCTTCCCAGTCATTCCACAATTTGCCCCTTTCTCATCTGATGACTAAAGGAACAGGAGGAAGAGGAGGGGGGGTTCTGGATTAATTGCCCCCGCTGGATTATTTATTTTTCCTGCTTCTCTTGCTTGGCATCCGAGAAGAGAGGAAGGAGGGATGTCAACTGATTTTTACCCCTAGCCCCCTGGATTAATTACCCCATTTTTATTCTCTTGTTGGATCAATTACCCCTTCACCTTACCTCCTCTCCCTCCCCTCCTTATGCGAACGAGAAGACAAGAGGAACAGGGAGGATTTTGATCTTAATCTCCCGTCGTTGGATTACTTACCACCTCCCTCTTTCTGTTCTCCCCTTCCACGGCGGCTTTACACCCCCGATTGAGCTCCAGAAGACGAAAAAACGTTCTGAGTTCCTCTTTAATTTTTTTTTTTAATTTTATTTTTTTAAATATATTTTTACCCCCCTCTCCTATACCTCTCTGTCTCTCCTCGCGGGTTATTCCCCCTGCCACTATTTCGCGTGCGTGTGTCTGTAAATCCCTTATTTAATTGTATTATTATTTGTGCGTGTGCAGAGCCCCCCTCCCCCTTTCCCTCTCGCTGTCTGTCTCTCCCTCTCTCCCTCTCTCTCCCTCTCTCCCTCTCTGTCTGTCTCTTTCTTTCTTGTCGGAGGCTGTGGGATAATGGCGTGTGGGTTGTGGCTGTGAGGATGAGTTCCTGCTTCGTGCCGAACGGGGCCAGCCTGGAGGATTGCCATTCCAACCTCTTCTGCCTGGTGAGTGTCGGCCCCCGGCGCACACTCGCCCGGGGCCACCGAGGGAAGGGCTGGGAGCTCTGGGGAGGGGGAAGGGGCAGTGGAAGCAAAGCAGCCATTTTTAGCAGAGCTTCTGCTGGATGAGCCCTCGGAGTAGGCCCTGCCTGGAGCAGCCAACTCTCCCATGCCCCTCTGGTTCCCCTCCATCGCTGTCTGTCTCGCCTCGCCCCTCCCTCCGCTTTCTTCCTGGATAGTAGCCTCCCCGCAACTCGCCTTTTCCTTCCCTTTCCGTGCCTTCCAACTTTTCCTCCTTTCTCCCCTCTATCCCTGCCTCTGAGCCTTTTCTCACAAGGGAAGGGAGCTGCTGCTGCCTCTCCTCCCGGCCCCACATCTCGGGGAACTTTCTCTTTTCCCTCCTCGCTCGTGACATCCCAGGCGAAACCTCCCGTATTCCTCGCTTTTAAACGGATCCCTTTCCCTGCTTGCTTTTATTCTGGAGGGTTGCTTTTGGTGATGCCCTGCCTGTCTTGTGTTTTGATGTGCACCATTTTGTA